AGGTTGCCCACTTTCAGCTACAACTATGTGAAATCTACCACACTACCCACACAAACAGAGTGTTTAAAACATTTCTCTACAGAGCAGGGCAAAACGGAGGTGCAACATTACATCTGGTTGAATATAAAACATGAGAGAGGGTTCACAGAAACTCCTAAAAACATCCACATGTCACATTGATGGTCAAAACCTTTTCTTTAATTTCTTATATTTAAAAAAACGGGAAAAAACTTTTAAAAGAAAAAATGTTAAATGGGCTGTATTTATATAGTACTTTATAGTCTTTACGACTCTTCAAAGCGTTTTTATATACTGTATATACAGTACAAGTTATCATTCACCCTTTCATGGAAGCTAACATTCACACACATTCAAACACGTTCTGATTGAAAGACGGCAGCACTACATCACAGCCACAGTTGCCCAGAGTAATATTAGTGACAGTCCTAAAGAAAGCAGAGTAACTTTCAGTATTTCACTGTCAATTTGAAATTCAAGCCACCTCTTTCTCAGGAACATATCAACATGGTTAAACATAATGAAACAGCAGCTAGCTAACACACACTTTGGTTGACCTTAGTAGGTTAGGTTACTATCACACATCACATTAGACCTTACTTTATTTCCCTGCTATGTCGTTAGACAAAGCGTCCACCCCTCACGACAAGCATGTCCATTCATACTCATTAGGACAGCAGTAAAAAGCTGGAGCCAACCGTGACTGGGGATAATCCGATTGCCTGACACAATGGACGCTCAGGACACACAGATCAGGAGACAGCCAATGGGAAAAGGAACATACATAGACAGCTACACATCACAATTATAGGAAGGCATTTGGTCCCGAAAGTCAGAACTACTCATGGGACACACACACACACACACACACACAGCACACACACACACACACACACACACACACACACACACACACACCACACACACACACACACACACACACACACACACACACACAACACACACACACACACACACACACACACACACACACACACACACACACACACACACACACACACACACACACACCACACACACACACACACACACACACACACACACACACACACACACCACACACACACCACACACACACCACACACACACACACACACACACACACACACACACCACACACACACACACAATGAGGCATGAGGGCAGATATGAGTACTTGGGAGGTCAGCTGTTCATGAGAAGAAGAAGCCATGAGAATCCCAGAGTCATTTATATTCAAGTATTTAAAGTGATAACGACGAGACTACACTCCGCCTTCCTGTCAAAAACACTTAATGTCCAATGTATGGTTTTAATGTAAAACCCTTTTCTACATTAATGATAGAAGAAGAATAGATAGAAACTCCCTCTGGTGGGAACTTTGGGATTTTATCCTTTACAGACTATTTACATGGAACAAACTCCCAGAAACCTGCAACTCTTACTACTTTTAAATCCAGGCTGAACACTTTTCTTTTTGCCGTTGCTTTTAATTGATATATTCATATCTTAAACTGCACTGTAACTTTTATTATCTTTGCTTTTTATCTTTGCTTTTAAATGAGTGTTTTTAAATGTCATTTTATAATATGTTTCTTAATGCTCTTAATTTCTTTCATTTTTGTAAAGCACTTTGAATTGCCTTGTGTTGAAAGGTGCTATATAAATAAACTTGCCTTGCATGCACACAAACCTACATTATATAACACACTACAGGAAAGGGAAAACCCTCAAAGACATTATAGGACCCCTCAGATAAAAATGCAACTACAGTCATAGAGACCATTAGCAAGCTCTTTTTTTTGTATTAATAAAATACAAATACTTTACTAACCTTAAGACATGCTGAATAACTTTTAAAATGATCCCGAGACACAACAAACTAATACACGTGTAGTAAAGGCCTCCAAAGTACATATTTATCTCCCATATTTGTACCCAAACACGAGGCAACGTCCAGTGAAATTGCTGAATATGAATATGTTCAAAATTGCTGCATTCACGTTCACACTTTCAATTATTGTTCTTAACACAGCACTGTCAATCTCAGAGACCTCAAATACGTTGTTATCGAGCTCTGCTATTGCCACAAATAGAATCTACATCGTGGGGAGAAACAGGAGGGGGATATAGGAATTAAAACAACCAAAGGTCGCTCCAGAGAGACTTGTACAGCCCTGAGACACACCACCATCATTAAGACAACAAATGTACTCTTCCGTTCATTCCTCCAGAGCAGCCAGCTGGCCTCGTGACCCCCCCCCCCCCCCTCCCTCAACCCCTGCTAAACCTCTCTACATAATATATGTTTTGACATAAAACAGAGGTAGCTTTCTAGAACAGTTTGGCACAGCACACACCCCGAGGGCAGAGAGGAAAGGTAGAAAGGAAAGACACACACACACACACACACACACACACACACACACACACACACACACACACACACACACACACACACACACACACACTACACACACACACACACCACACACACACACACACACACACACACACACAACACACACACACACACACACACCACACACACACACACACACACACACACACACACACACACACACACACACACACACACACACACACACACACCACACACACACACACACACACACACACACACACACACACACACACACACACACACACACACACACACACACACACACACACACACACACACACACACACACACACACACACACACACACACACACACACACACACACACACACACACACGTCAGTGAAGTTTGTGAACATGATTGAAGAACACATAAACTTTGCAATGTTACCATCTGCAAAGTAAGTATTGGAGCAACACGCTGACACTCAAGGTTCAGATGACAAGAAGTTCCTTTAAGTTGGTGTCATTTTATAATAATTGTGTCCATGCAACAAAATTAAACAGATTATAAACATATTATAATTATGATTTATATTAAGCTGTTGGATGAATCTAATTAAAGTAAGGATGACTTAGAGGAGATATGTACCTATAGTTACAGGTAAATAACTTCAAATCATGGCCAAAATGATTATGTACACAACCTGAAAATAAGATGCCTGCTGTGTGCATGTTAGGTTCAGTAATCAACAAAAGGAACTGGCCTGAACAAACACAGAGCCAGAAGTGCAGGCAGGTGCTCCCATCAGCCCCTTTCCTCTCCCTCCAGACACACACAGGCTTTGTGGTAGTCTGCGAGAGGGTCTCCTAAGGCCAGGGTCACCTCCCTGTAGACCACCACAGCTCTCCTCTGGCTCCCAGATGTTCTCACACACACACACACACACACACACACACACACACACACACACACACACACACACACACACACCACACACACACACACACACACACACACACACACACACACACACACCACACACACACACACACACCACACACACACACACACACACCACACACACACACACACACACACAACACACACACACACACACACACACACACACACACACACACACACACACACACACACACACACACACACACACACACACACACACACACACACACACACACACACACACACACACATTCACACACACTCAAACTACCTGACCTGTATAGAGCAACTACTGCATGTTTATTTGTATGGAAGTTTATCTTTTTGTTTAATTGCCCCGTATACAGTTTACAAAAGTTGCATTGTTTGTATGTTGTGTTTGGCGTTCAATACTGCAGGTAAACAACAACAACAACAGGAGGCCTTGTATGTACAAACAGACTTGTTCAATTCAGATTCTGGTGTGTGCGTTTGTCTGAGTGTGTGTGCATGCATGTCTCCCAGCACACACATGAGTGAGTCAGTGCACTTGTTGAATAAAATGATCTATTCCTCGCTCTTTCAAGGAAGTGGGGGGAGTGGAGGCGGGCAGATTGGATGCTGATCAGGACAGACGTGTGTGTATTTGCGTGCTGGAGGAGGGCAGTGGAATCCACACCAGACCATCTATTATAATGACAGGAAACAGGAAGTACAACCCCTTCACAGTCACATGGCTGCCAGCTGTCTTGGCAACTAAAAGAGGGAAGATGGAGCAGACGATGGGGGTGTGTATAATGTGTTTGTGTGTGCGTGAGTGTGAGTGTGAATGTGCGTGTTAGTTTGTGTGCGTGCGCGTGTGTGTGTGTGTGTGTGTGTGTGTGTGTGTGTGTGTGTGTGTGTGTGTGTGTGTGTGTGTGTGTGTGTGTGTGTGTTTTATACACATGCCTGGCAGTAGGTTTGGATGGAGAGCGTAGGTGGAGAAGTACTTGTATGTGCATTCCTACACGTGAACATGCCATTTCTGCATCTGGAATAAGAACAAAGGCTGTCAAGAAATGTGCTCCATCCAAATCTCCATCGTCTTTCCCCTCCAATACAAAGATATACTCAAATCTACATGCCTTGTATTTTTGCTTCTGCAACATTATGCCAAATCCAGTGCAGGACTGACCTCAGTTCTCAGCATATGGATGTGTTTAGGAACTGCAGTGCAGACATGCGCATGCACGCCCACTTAAAGAGACACAAAAATGCACATATACATTTCCCACAATGCAAACCCACAAAAAAAATTAAGTAGCATTTCTTCTCAGACCAAATCATATAGGAATGAATGACAGCTCCTTCTATTAGTACACTAAACTGTCCATATTGGTAAGGAATACATCAAATACACCAACATACATCTATGTGTGTGCACAACGCATATATACACAGCAATGCTCCTCTCAGGTATCTTTCATCTGTCAGCCTTGAAATTGCTCAGGGTTTACAGGCTGTGAACTGACTAACACGAGGAGTATCCATTTCAACCGCACAACGTCTACAATCATTGCAACCAGAGAACTTCTGTTGCCTCTTGTGAACTTTGGTGCCAGAAACTGAAACAGCTTGAATCTTAGACTTAGATATTGACTTCTAAAAGAGAAGCCACACACATGTTGCTCACCTTCAGACAGGTGGGAGTTGAGAGGCGTTTGTGTCTCCTTGCAGTAAGCGACCATCTCTTTGGGAAGGAAGTCTACCTGTGTGATCTTAGAGGCTCCCAGTCTCTGCATCCTGCGCCTGGGTAACGAGACAAGATGTTTCCATTAGCATAGTTATAATGTGCATTAACTACATTTGTCCTGTATACAGTACTGCAAGATACATTGTTTCAGCCTGGACATTAGGATGTGTGGATGCTCAATAGTTGTAGTATGTTGGATCCTGTAGTATCTTTGAAGTATTTTGTAGTGTTTTTGACTTTTTATTTTAATTATCCAGAATATTTTATATTGTTTTGTTTATATTATTTATATTTTATATAATATTTTTCATTTGATTTGTAATTGTTAATTCTCTTTTCCACTTTTTTAAGTATTTTAAGTATTGTATTATAAAGTCTGAACACACTTCTGCCTCTGTGACGAAATAATTTCCCAAATTGGGATCTATCTATCTATCTATCTATCTATCCATCTATCTATCTATCCATCCATCTATCTATCTATCTATCCATCTATCTATCCATCTATCTATCTATCTATCCATCCATCCATCTATCTATCTATCTATCCATCTATCTATCTATCTATCCATCTATCTATCTATCTATCCATCTATCTATCTATCCATCCATCTATCTATCTATCTATCCATCTATATCCATCTATCTATCCATCCATCCATCTATCTATCCATCCATCTATCCATCTATCTATCTAGTTACATTGCAGGACATCCAATTTCAAGTAAGGCAAATTAACTCAAACACTTCTTGCTACAACTTTTTTGCTGTTTGGTGCAAACACAAAACTTGCTCTGTACTCACTTTCTAGGGCGAATCTACAAGACAAGTCTGGGCGATGTAACATATTTTCCAATATAGGATTGTGTGATTCAGGCCCTTCATGTATATAGAACCACCAATCAAAATCATTCTAAATCATAAGCAGAAGATTTGACAACAGTAAGATGTATGGAAATATTTCAACTACATAAAAGATGTTGATCATACATTTATATTAACCTTAATACAGATTTGTATTTGTACAGAAGTTTGAATGTTGGGCCTTGTTTCTCTCGAAACCACTTTGTTTAATATTCAAAAGACTGTGTCACTAGAGTAGTTAAGCCTTAAAATGGAATCATATATTAGACTATAAATACAGCATACGCCATTTAATGTCAAATAAGGTGTCATTTATTGTCAGTCTGTGAACTATAGGAGAAAAGGAAGATGTACCCGAGCTCAGAATCAGCCTGCAGCTGCAGCACAGACGGGTCTGTGTCCCACTGCAGCGTCCTGGTGTCACCAACAGGGGGGGCAAGAGAGGACATGCATGTTTACAAACAGACATGTTATAACATACACACAAAGTATGGCACATGTGTCAAAGGCTCACAAAAACCACATGTATGGGCAGACACACTCACTCACAGACCTCTTGTCTAAAAAGCAGCTCCACACAAGGACTCCCATCAACTTTCATGCATGACATATTTTGAAGATAAGTGGATATATCTTGGGGGAGCGATACATTAGGGACACATTATATGTACTATTTATTTGAAGATCTATGCTTATCTTTAGGAATAGACATCTTGGTCTTCTGCCAGGAATATTTTAGTTTGAAAATACATCTACATTTATGGACAAAACGTGTTTGATGGAAAAAGGTTTCATTGTTTTTCAAGTGGGAAAACAATTTGACCTCATGACTTTTAAATGCAGGAAATCTCTGTAGAAATATGTGTTTGTATTTTTCTAATCATCTAGAGAATCCACTTTTAGCAACATGTATGACATTGATCCATATTCCTCTGTGACACTATATATATAATACTGTATATGCACATTTGTACCAATTGATGCATGTAAGCCATGAACATTGAAGCAGCATGATTTCCATCTCACACTGACAAAACAAAACATGCATCATCTATGTACAAATGTACATGATAACATTCATCATGGAAATCAAATTAAAATGCATTTATAAAGATTTAGCTTGCACGACATCCATGACAATATGCTTGCCATGCAGGATCAATGAGTTTGCCAAACCTTGAGGAAATTGATCATCTTATTCGATGCATTTGCATACTTCTCAGAAGCTATACATGTTTTTATTTGGGGGATGTAGGAATCACTTGCTTGCAGGGAAATCAAACAGCAACTGAAACCTAGAGAGTTGTATGGCAACTTGTTTGAAATGTACTAACAGTGAAAGGCTAACGCACATCGCTTCACTTTTTGATGATACCTTTCAGGGCCAGTGAACATGCCTATCAGCACTCAGCTTGTGCCACACTGCGCCAGGTGAGAGTGGCAAGGCATTTCTTTAGCCTGACAGACTGGCTGTTTGGTAGTAACGGTGATGACACTTTAAGCAGCAGATTGTCAACTTTGTGAAGGCTGAAAAGACTTCTGTGGCTCAACTCATGCAAACAGAAATCTTTTGAGTTGGTGTAAAGGGAGACAGTAAGGCTTCAGACAGGAAGTAGCCAGAGGCGAAGCAGAGAAGCGAGGGAAGCTATGTTGATCTTAAAAATCAAGATGCGAACACATTTCTGAGACCACTGACAGCCCTGCAGGTGCCTTTCTGTATTCACTAGAGGGAAGACTCGGCTAACAAATAAGGGGAAGGTGGGGGGGAGGGTTCCTTGGTTTGACGCGAAAATGCTTACCTTGAAGTCTGTGCTTGGGACTTGTTTTTAGAGAAACCTGACCTAAGAAGGGACACACACATACACAGCCACAAATGGAGAAGCTCAAAATGGCATGCCTTCATCCAGGGTGGATTTGGGGGGAAAAAATTGCATTCCAGGCAGTGGATCTAACTCACCGTTTTGTAAAATCCAATTTGTAAAAGCTAAAAAGAAAAAGAAAGTCTCATATAAAGAGAATTTATTTATACTCCGAAACGTTATAGAGTCTCCCACGTGTTCTTTAACCCCAATTCCACTCCTGGCCACACCAGAACAACACATCACTGAGGGCATCACTCACACTGACATCTAGAGTCAGCGGCCATTAAGAAGCAAATGGAAAGTGCTTGATGACCACTCGCTTCTCAGCTGCAGGTTTATTCAGCAGAGCAGCCATGTGCAGAACTTATAAGATAAACAGTTGCTCCACTGGTCTGGTGTGTTATGGATGTATAAGCATATCACTGGCGCATGAATGACACATCAGCTAGTAAGCACTGTACATCCTACAGAACAGTAACAAAAGGGGAGGAGCTACTACTATACAGCTAATGGCTCACTACTGGCTCACTATGGCTGGTTGTTTTTAAGTGTATCAACTCACTTGCACATGTAATATCTAAACAAAAATAGCATCTCTTTGTTCAAACTAACAACTTATTTGCAGGAAGGACGCAGCTGAGACATTAATGTTCCTAAAACTAGTTATGAGAAGCAACAAGCAGTACAGTGGTCATCAAAACAACGGATGCCATGACAAGTGACAGATACCACATTTAAAACCTAACAAGGCACCACAACCTCACAGTTAGTGACACTCATTCTTACCTAAACCTGTTGAGACATTTACAAGAAAAGAGACAAAATATGTGTCAAAAGTGACAAAATGGCAAAAGAAACGCCCAAAGCAGATTCACATTCTCAGTTTTTTTGGCCACATGAAAAAACGTTTAATGTGGGCAGTGTTTCCCCTATATACGCCGCTGCTGAATGTATGCGCGCCGCTGCTACGGGGCCCCAGCCAGGTACCAACATTTTTTTATTATAAATTAAAATAATAATAAGTGGCGCTCGCGTTTGACGCGAGTTTGACCTTTCCTTCTGGCAGAATCTACACAACACATCAGCCCCATTGAACACAGCCTAGTCGTGCCAGCCTATACAACACATGAGGGGCAGAGTTGTACTGTGTGTGTGTTGCAACTTGCATATATATTTATTGCACTTGACGCACACATACACATGGCGTTATTTCCACTGGGGACAGGGGGAACATGTCCCCCCCACTTTTCGAAATCCCGTTTGTGTCCCCCCACTTTACAAATATGTTTTTTTTTAACGCAAGCCGCCATCGCCACGGAGGAGCACACAGCCTCTGTGAGCGAGCGAGACAGAGAGAGAGCGAGCACACCTTTATCTATTTAATATAGATGTAAAAAATAAAGTAAGAAATCATTCCAATGTGTACTATAGGACAGTAAAAAAAAACAGTTTAAAATGGGAGTGATTAGTAAAATATGCATAAATAAAAAGAAAGAATGCTAACTAGGTAACATAAGATAAGAATAAACAGTTTAAATGATTGGTTATTGGTTGTGATCATATTCTAAAGATGTTTGGATTATTGAAAAGTATACATCTCCCTTTCAGATGAGTGTTGAGAGCTGTATCCATCAATTCATTTTGTGCTCAAAGTGCACCAGATTGATGCATTTCACTTCAACATTTAAAAAAACTTCCCGGGGATGCATGCCCCCGGACCCCCCTAGAGGATGTAAGGTCCACCCCCAAATAAAGCAGGTTAAAATAATTAAATTGCATACATTTTATTTTGATTGTTTGTTATGTGGATTTGTAGTATTTGTGTTACTGTTCAATAAAGGTGTATTTTGCTAAATCTTGAAGATTTAGCAAAATACACCTTTTGAGGCCTAGTACATACAGTGGCAATGACTTGAGACATTGCCACTGTATGTACTAGGCCTCAAGAGCCTTTCTTGTGCTGGCAGACACATAGAAACAAATTGGCGGGGCGCACTTCGCACACTAAAAAATTCCACGCGCTCCGCGCTCACATTTGTTTGGGCCCGCATGCTTTAGCACCGCTGCTATGACTCCATCCTAGGGGAAACACTGGTGGGGTTGTATAAAGTACTGTTTAGGGTCATTTTCCACATCAGTTTAAATGTGTGCTGTAGTCAGAATATTGTACCACAACAACACAAATTAACTAATCAACCGAGGCTGCAGTTGACTGACAACCTTCGTATTCTGCCAGGTTAAGCTACTGTTTATTTTTGTTCTTATAGGAGCCTGGTGGCATTAAGGAGACCATACATAACCGCTTCAGTTACCCTGTGGAAAGGGTGTGTGTCTACAGCAAGTAAAGCTCTAAATATAACAAACAATTAAACTGATTCAGACTTTTTGCTTGGATGTGCCTTATTTATCCGTATAAAATACATTTAGCTGCTGCTCCCCAATCACAGCAGAACATTGCATTGCTAAGCTTCGTAATTGCTTGAGTGCCAACCACCATACAAGACTACAGTATGTCTAACAACATCATGAAACCCTGCTTTAAAAGACCCAAACTATCCCTTTTAATACAGTGTCTGGTTTGTAAGAGTGAGCAAACCCTTTTTGAAAGTGTGAAAGGTCCTTGACATTTAGCATTGCTTGAATTAGACTAACGAACCAAGAAGACCTCTGGCATTGAACCTGGGTATGATGTTTGAGATTTCTGCCTACCTGCCCACTGCTCCTCCATCAGTTGAATCCTGGCTTCCCGTCTCACTGGGGGTACTCAGTGATTTGGAGGGGGACAGAGGGGTCGGGACTACATAAGGAAAATAACATGAATCTAACATTAAAGGCTGCAAGAAATACACTTAAATAGAGTGATGGAACATACAAATGCATGTTTAAAAGAAAGGAGAGGCAGGGCAAAGCATCAAAGCATTGTGATTTTGTATTAATAGGATCTTACTCGCTTCATTTGAAGATGCGTTATAAATAACCTAAGCTTATAACAGACAGAGCATTGACCCAGTTCTGAGGTGTTGAGGGTGTTGTTACAATTTCAGACCACTAGAGAACAGTGCTTCCAAACGCTCGCCTAACCCTGGGGATAAAACCTACATTAAATATCTGCTTTGTGTACAAGTAAAGTTAAGAGAAGCAGCATCATGTTATAATGTCATTATTCAGAGTAATCAAAAACCAGAGTAGGACTATAGTGGAGGAGAGAAAGGCAATAAAAAGGGAGTTGTAACACTTCAAAGTAATTATTAAAAAAGACATACAGAAAAGTCCAAACATACATATAAAACGGTATCATGCAGTCAAGGCAACACAAAAAAGAAAAGAAATGTACCTTGTTTTTTATGTATCTGTTAAATAACATTTGCGTTTGCAGTAGAATGTTGTTGGCATCTTAGATTTACTTCACGGTGAGTATTGTTTAAAACATTTAAATGGTGTGTCAGCGCTATATTTAATGTAGTTTGAGGATATGTTAGAACCTTTCATGGTCCTTAAACGTTATGTATAGTAAAAAAAAATCTACATTTTGCATAAAAATCACAACAGAACAGAGAAAACCCTTTATGGTTGAACTCATTGTTTAGGGTGTGTGAATATGACGTACCTAGTGAAGGCTCAGGTGAGATGCCGATACTCTGGAGCAGGGCCTCAGTCTCGCGGCGCTTACGGTCCAGGTCTGAATCCTCTGGGATGGACTCTCTCTTCTGCTGGATCTCTGACTGCTCAGGACACAGAGAAATGACATCTTACTCATCATAATGCTTAGGATACGTTTACACATGCATGCAGTTTTTTATGAAAAAGTCCCACACCAACCTCATGATTGTATACGTATGGACACACACAACCTCATCCTTTTGTGTCACGCGGGCTGACAAAAAGCAATCAAACAATACACACTAGTGTGGCCAGTTGTTTGAAATCACTCACTTTTTTCCTTACCTCTTTCTTCTTCCTCTCCTCCTCCTTAATCTTTTTTTCCTGCCTGATTTGGGCGAGGCGCTGCTTCTTGCGCTCCAGCTCTGCTTTTAGGTCACTTTTATCCGACATGATGTCCTACAGGGCTTTAAGTAAGACATTTAGACAGGAATGAGCAACATATGGCACTGTCACAACATGTTCTGGTTTCATTTTCACACGTTGGCCTATGTGATGCTTCACAAAACGCAAATGGGTGTGGCAGTTGTACATCCATAGCCAATCGATAAGCTTGCAGGCCCAGCACACGATAGGGAAATGATATTGGCAAAAAAGCTGTCAATACGGGGCAGAAATGTATATCAACAGTGGTGTGACACTTGAACCATTTCTCCAGAAATATTCTAATGCATGCAGTAAACATTTAAGCTCAACTCCTCAGTTGCCAATATTCAGGTTTGGGAAACAAAGTAGACTAGTTTGATTACATAAAACTAAATGTAGCATTAGGGTCAGGATCTTGAAATAGATCTCTGACAAAAGGTTATTAAAGAAATGTGGGCTACCTATTTGTATCAGTCTTTCCCATTTATTTAGGAAATAATAGCACCTGACCATGGAGGTTTAGCAATGTCTGCTGAATCTTTTGGGAAGGAAAACATAAGAAAATAACAAAAGATGTGTACTCTGCTGACAAATAAATGGTATAACTATAACAAAAACCCAGCTAAATATGCAGCCTTAAAAAGAAGAAAATGTGCTCGTAATGTTAACTGACATTAGCTGAATATTCCAAGCTAGCTAATCACACCTTTGACAGTATTTGTACATACGACAATACGAAGGCCTTGCTATAAATACAAATGAACTTTGCTAACGTAAAGCTGACAAAAAGGGGGATATTTGGTCGTAAATAACCGTATAATGTAGTGTTATTGTTTCACTCGTACCTTGTCCACTCGTGCTGATAATGATGTGTCACCCGGCAAAGATGCTGTCTCACTGCTGCACCCCGAACAAAAAAAAAATCAACACATCCTCTGCCTAAATGACAAGAGTCGAGGCCTTTCTGACACCACCGAATAGGTCGTTTAAATCTTTTCTTACAGCTATTGATGACCAAAACACAGCATTTCAGCGATGGATGATGACCCAGATAGTGGATAAAACAGGTGCACCGCACGCTGATACATCCCTAGGAGGAGTAGGAAGATGTTGAGGAGGAGAGGAGGAGGAAATCCAACCTCCTTGTTCGTCTCGTGGCTTTTGTAACGTCGCCATCTTGTGGCCAACTGGAGAAAGGCGCCGGATGAGCCAAACTAACAAATACACACGTTACAAACTGCCATTCTAAAACCACATGTACAGTATGCTTTGTTTTTAGACAAGTACAAATGAGCGTTAGGTGAGTTTTAGTAAGAGGGCCACTCATATTTAACTTAGTCGGTGATGCTTGGGAAGGTAATGTCACGTTAACACGGTTAAGTGAGTACCGTGCAACGAACGGCCGTTAATTAAAAAGACTAGGGTGTCAGAAATGTAATTTGTTAGCTGACTAGTTTCGGGAAAGCGTTCAAAAACAACACAAAAACACGTGTTCGGGGTAGCTCGTCGCTAGGGGAGGCCGTAAGAAGCTTATGTTATGTTTGCAGCACAAAAAGGCAGGGTTCGAGTTATGTGGGAGCCAATGGGAGCTGAGCTCCCATAAGGAGGGGTCTGAGCTCCCACGGACGCAGTGAAATCATACATCTGTGGGGGTCGCTAATACATTACCAACAACCATTATTTTAATCACAAATAATGCATGTGTCAATGTAATGAGTATTATTGAAAAGAAAAACATGTTTTCCAAAAGAACAACGCATCTCTTGAATAACAATATGCCTGCACTGCACCTCTTGCACAATCTATGCCTGTGAGCGTGCTGCGCGAGCCGAGATCATGTGTGTGTGCGTAGTTGAACCTTTTCATACAGGGCCGTGGTAAGTAGGGGTGCTGAGGGTGCTTGCAGCACCCCCTGATGGAGGACAGGGAATCTGCACGTCCACAAGATTAAATGGAAATATAATACAAATATAATACAAAAAAAAAAAGATTTCGGCCTTGATGTTCACATTCATAATTAAGTAAAGATAACACCCTTTTCAGCCCGGTTACATTTTCCATGTGCCCTGAAAGGACTCTGAGTGTTTAGATAGTTCACTTTAGTCTAAGTTATTACAGTGTGTCTCAAACGGTTTTATCACAATTTATGTAAACAAATATTTCCAAGGCACACCTTTATAATTATTAGGATAAATAAAAACAGGTTTGAAATCATTCCAATGTATACTATAGGACAGTAAACCAACAATATCCTTTAAAACTGGAGAGATTAAAAAATATGGATAAATAAATAAATAAATAAATGTTAACTGGTAAAATAAGATATAAATGAACCAGCAAAAATCTTGCCTAGAGCAGCAAATTGGTCAGAACCGGCCCTGGTGTCATCCCCACATGTTTTACACTTTCCTGTTTAGATTCTGCCTCGTGTTTGTTGTCATTGGGCCGTATGGAACAACATGTTCTATTCCAATGCTCAATTGCTCTAGGCAGGGTTGCCAACTCTCACGCATCTGGCGTTTGACACACGCTTTCACTCTCAATCTCACGCTCTCACGCTGCCCAAACTATTCTCACGCCAAAAACAAGAATACGAAGACTAGAAACGGTTTTGAAAACTTTTGTCACGTAGTGATCGTCTTCTCAATAGAACATCTTTGATAATGTCTTCTGGCCAATCAGAATCACGATAACGGCGTGGTGTTGTTGCAGGAAGTCCCGACGGAGAATACTTTTGCGGTAGTACTTCTCTATACATCGATACAACATTACGTGTTGATAGAAATCAACACGTAATGAAATAAGACCTGACGGTTTGATGATTGATAGGTGTGTGGGCTGTCTTTCATTTTGACACACAGAACAATGGGGGCTATCCACAATGTAAAGTAATTCACACAGCCTCTTCCCTCTTCTCTCTGTGAGGAGCAGCAGGTTCAGCTTTCAGAACAAAGTCACACAAAACTAAAATGGCATTCATTTTTTTAAATATGTCATGTAGTAATAGATTTATTTATTTTTCTTCTCAAGAGAGTACCAGAATGTGTATTTTATGTTAGTATTTAAAAAAATCTCCTGGGCCCAGACCCCCCTGCAGGGGTTGGGTCTTCAGCATGTCAACTCTTTCACCTGTGGGGAAATTGCAGGATTGGCTCCAGGTCGCCCTTTTTATTTACTACAAGACAAATGTGCCTTTTTATTTCATACAGTTCAATTTGGATTGAGAGAGGGAAATCATCTAAACCTCACGCGTGGCGTTTCACTGTCGCGGGGAGCGTGTATGTAATTACATTGCAGATACTGACTTGAGCCCCACCACTGTATGGGTTAGCCCTACCAGAGATTACCCAACAAAAATACTCTGGAGCCGCAACTGCCGACCCGTATTGCGCATGCGCAGATCTAAGATCCAGTAGAAATGGTAAAAAAGTAAAAGTCTGCTGCTTATTGTTCTACTAGGCCAAAATAGAGTCAAAGAGTATATGAGAGTGAGAGTGTGTTAATTAATATATTTGGCAGTTTGGAGTAAGTCTGTAGATTTGTTTGTGTGTGTGTGTTTCATATATAGGCCTCTCACGATAATTAATTTTGTTGGATACATTTTCCCGGAAATTATTGCGATAAACGATAATATTGTCGGCACCGTTGTATCATATGACCATTTTAGACCACTGACATAATGATAATATATAATAATAATTCAAGTGCATCCTTTCAAACTGCTAGTCACATCCTCATGTAAATGGAAATGTATCGAGGTCAGAAAAGTTATCGAGTTCATTTTTATTTATCGTACGATAAGTCAATGAATTGCTTATCGCGACAGGCACACAATAAAACAGTGGAAACAAACATGTTTGACTTTCATTAGTGAATGAAACTGTGTGCCCTTTATAGTCTGTGTCCATTATTGTGTATTTGTATATATTGTATATATATCCTATATATATGCTAAGGTCTCGCTGCTGACACGATAGCAGTCATTTCGTGCGCATATGTGTAATTAAACCGAATTAAACCCATGATATCAAAATCTCACTCCAGCCAGGTACCCAAAGTTGGCAACCCTGCTCTAGGTCGGATTTCCTACTAACGTAATAGACACTTTGGACATTTATTAATCCTAGTAGATTGTCATCACTAGGCAAGGCGAGGCAAGTTTATTTATATAGCACCTTTCAACACAAAGCAATTCAAAGTGCTGTACACAAATATAAGACAATAAGATCTAACAACACTAACATGTGTAGTCAAATTTGTCTGAAAATGATATAGAAATGTTGCTTCATTTGGATGGAACATTTGCGAGGCGAAAATGTACCTCACTCTTAGTTTATGAAATCATCAACTCACTATATAAAAAAATGAAAATTTGCATCAACAGCACGAAAACAAAACCGGTTGCAACCATGTTGTCAAAGTAGCAGCAAAAAGAGCCAATGTGATGTACTGCCCGCTTGTTTGTTTGAGAGCTTGAACAACTACTGACAAGTGAAGAAATGCATGGATGAAATGTTGATGTGTGGTTCAGTTGCCTCTATATGCATTGAATACAAACTGATGATTATTTGCGATGCATTTATGTGAAGCAGTATTTTATTGGTGTTGCTGGTTAAGATAAGTATGATGTAACTATTTTATAGACTAATATGTAGCTTTATCAATAATGCCGTGCCACATTTTATAAGCTATTTGTTTTGAATGCACACTTTTGGGCCTTTGGGGACTCCGTAGAATCACCGCAGACAATTACATTTCAGGAAGTTACTTTGAAACTTGCATGTAAAGTTTCACGCTATGTTTTGCTAAATGAAAGTTAAAACGTTTCACTATCACTCATATCACTTTGTCTGATCTCTCTCTCTCTCTCTCTCTCTCTCTCTCTCTCTCTCTCTCTCTCTCTCTCTCTCTCTCTCTCTCTCTCTCTCTCTCTCTCTCTCTCTCTCTCTCTCTCTCTCACTCTCTCTCTGCCCTGTAATGAGTTGATTCAAGTTCTTAATGTCAGTCTAAACAATACAATTATGTTGGTGCATCATGGCATGTGGCTCATTAAAAAAAGTACAGCTATTATCTACCTCTTGTATAACTGGTCGGCCCCACCTGCATTAGCACAATGGATGAAACAAATACATTAGGCAAGGCTAGGCATGTTTATTTATATAGCACCTTTCAACACAAGGCAATTCAAAGTGCTTTACAAAAATGGAAGACATTATGAAAATGGCATTTAAAATCAGTCATTAAAAAGAAAAGATAATAAAAGAAACATTAAAAGAAAAAGTACATGGATAAAAGTTACAGTTTAAGATGTGAATAGTTCAATTAAAAGCAGCGGCAAAAAGAAAAGTCTTCAGCCTGGATTTAAAAGTAGTAAGAGTTGCAGCGGACCTGCAGGTTTCTGGGAGTTTGTTCCAGATATTTGGAGCATAATAACTGAATGCTGCTTCTCCATGTTTAGTTCTGACTCTGGGGACAGAAAGCTGACCAGTCCCTGAAGACCTGAGAGATCTGGATGGTTCATAATTTAGCAGTAGGTCAGACATGTATTTTGGGCCTAAACCATTCAAAGCTTTATAAACCAGCAGCAGTATTTTGAAATCTATTTAAAGTAAAACCACTTTCCAGCAGTCAGCAGCACATTGTAAAAGCTGTCGATACAACTGTTCACATTCATAATTAAGTAAAGATAACACCCTTTTCACCCCGGTTACATTTTCCATTTGCCCTGAGAGGCTCAGTGAGGTAAAGGACTGTTTAGATAGTTCACTTTAGTCTAAGTTATCTCAGTGTGTCTCAAACGGTTTTATCACAATTTATGTAAACAAATATTTCCAAGGCACACCTTTATAATTATTAGGATCAATAAAAACAGGTTTGAAATCATTCCAATGTCATTTCATTTCATTTCAAACCTTTATTTAACCAGATTGGTCCCATTGAGATCATAGATCTCTTTTTCAAGGGAGACCTGCAGCATATAGGTTCCACATGAAACATAAAACAATAAAGGACATCATACATTATATTTACAGGATAC